CTGTGCAACTAAAAACCTCTTTGTTCTCTGTTTCTTTTCTTTCAATGATATTTCCAAAATGCGTGTGGCAACCACATTTCTATAGCTTCTATTCAGTCGGACATTGCAGTGGTAATAGTCCAGGTTTCGGATGCATATAGCGGTGTGGACAAAAATACAACATCTTGAAATTGTTTTCTTTGTGTATGCTAATATTTTTTGATTCAAGATTTGCAGCTATATTTTCGTAATTAACTCTACCAAACATCAACCTTCTTTTTATTTCCTTTTCATTTCTCCCATCTTCCATGTGATTAAATATCCTAAATAAACCATCTTTTTCACCCGTTCAATTTGTTTTCCATCACAAATTAAATTCACCTTTGTGGTTAACTTTGCTTTACAAACATTGGTTGTGTTTTATCACTGTTTACATTCCATACTCTTTATCCTTAACATTAATCACATCAAGAAAATGTTAAAACTGAACTTTACTTTCTGCCATCGATGCTGTGTCATCAGCATATACCTTAAGTTCTTCACTGGACCTCCAACTACACAATATATTCTACAATATACTCAAAAATGTTGTATCAGACATCCCCAAGCAGGATATGCAGATTATTTTACCCTTAACATAATCACATCAAGAAAATGTTAAAGCTAAACTTTACTTTCTGCCATCGATGCTGTGTCAATAGCATATACCTTAAGTTCTTCACTGGACCTCCAACTATACAATACATTCTACACTAAAAAATGTTGTATCAGACATCCCCAAGCAGAATATGCAGATTATTATGCATTATTGGTGATTTTAATGCCCAGATAGGCAAAAACCCAGGCACTTGGTAAACACACATAGGGAGAGCTTAATGACTGGTAACCGTGTTACAATGGTAACATATTTTTCTTGGCTCACAAACTGGTTGTTGGCTTCTCGCTATTCCGGAAAAGAGAACCCACAATGTGACCTGACGGTAAGATCGTGACACTGATTAACTACATCATCATGGGCAGCTGACACAAAGATGTGAAAGTCTACAGAGGTGCAGTTGTTGGCAGTAATTTTTTTGCAGTAAGTATAGCTTCCTGCAAAATCAGTGTGCCTATCACTAGCAGGCATGAAACAACAGTAACGGCAACTAAACTGTATGACACTTCTAAGCAGCAGGAATATGACATCCTGGCCAAGTTTATATCTTGATGGGGATACTGACATAGATACAGAGTACAGACAACTTTACCAATGCTGTGAATTGAACTGCAGCGAAACATCTTAGTATAAAGAGAGGTAAACTGACAGTTGTATATCTGCTCACAAAGTGAGTTGATTTCAAAGTTCTAGTGTGTGTGTGATTATCAAGGATAACGGAGCATGCTGTCAAATGGGCTGAATAGTTTGAAATTTTACTTAATTCTAAAAACCAAACTGATGTACATGACTTTAGTAGTCATATGCAAGTGGTTGATGTTGTCATAGATATGGAACCACAAACTGACAGTAGACGAGGTTGTTTCATGATGAATAACATGTGTGGCCGCGTCTGCCATAGAACAAAAAAGACTAACTTGTATACAATTTAATCTCTAGCTTTTGTCTACACAGTAGATTCATCAAATGGGAAACATCCATAATATACAATGAGACAACAAGGAGGGCCTACATCTACAAATTATACAAATGTGGAGGACAAAGCCCGTACTAGAAATAATCAACTCTAATGAACAATATTCAAAGTACAGAAGATCAATGTAAAAACCTGTGGGAAATATATCATACCCCAGTATATGGCTATGCTAAAGTCAATATAGTAAAAAACAATAACATAAAACAATTAATGCTCAATAAAATCAAAAGAATAAAATGGTAAAGGCTAGAACCAAGGATAAATACAGTAACTACCGTATAATACAGTGCAACATATTTTCATATAGTAATAATAGTCCTATATGTAATAAATATGGATAATAATAAAGCAGCTTGAAAAATCAATATGCATTATACATAAAAAGCAGTAAAATGAAAAAAAAATAATAAAAATACCTATAATAATCAAAGGAAGTATATAATAAAATATACTAATTGACGGAATTGAGCGAGGAATCCTCAATCAATGTTAAGGCCTAATTCTATATAATCTATTTGCCTGTATAATATTTCTGTTATAATATTTCTTGTTCCTAAACTATTTTACTACTACTTGAACTTTCATAATATTCAATGACTGGTCAGAATATGTAAAAGGATTAGCTACAGGATTTTGGGTGAGTGTGTGTTTGATGTCATGTTTATATGTTTACTCCGTTGTCTAAGTGTTTGTCCTACCAATGTAGAGAGAGAGAGAGAGCGAGAGAGAGAGAGGGAGAGAGAGCATTATGGCAAATATATGATAGCATATACTAAGTCGGATGAAATGCAGTTATAAATGCCTATTATGCTGAAATGTTTAATGTTTGGTCCTATGACTGTTGCTGAATTTGATATGTGGACAAAGTTTGCCAGTTTAGGTATTGCGTGGAAATGTACTATGGTTGCTGTTAGTGGAAAGTTTACTTTTAACTAAATGTTGTTTCAGATTAGGGGGCTGTTTATAAGCATTGATAAGATCGTCTTTAAAATCTATGAAGCATTAATATATCTGCAGATGTTTTTTTTGTTTTTTTTTTTGTAAGTTATGCGATTTAAATCAGCAGTTATCAAGTCTATACGGGAGCGCAGGAGGTTTAATTTGAAAAGTGTATTGGCCTAGCCCGTTGCTAGCAAAGTATAAGCCTACCTGAGCGGAACACCGGATTAACTCTGATTCCCAGACGCAGTTCAAGGTACCCACAAGTATTTTTAAATGTATTCTGTACGTGCCGAATTTATAATAAATAAATACATAGATAAATAAAGGAACGGATATATA